CCCCCCCCATGGCACCCTGACCTCCAGCCTAGCCCGGCAGCGCCCTGGAGACCCTCTGCTGGGGGTCCTGAGTGGTGGCGACTCGGGGGGAGCCCATTTCCTGACCCGGGAAGCCTTTCAGCAGTGGCACACACAGGTTTGCTCAGGAGAGACCCAGGCAGGCGCCACCCAGAGAGCAAGCAGCAGAGGCCTCCCTGCCCCACTCCAAGAGCCCGGGGTCACCTTCCTGGGGAGGGGGCGCAGCGGAGCCCAAGCCCCGGCCTGGGGACAGGCAGAGCGGGGACTGGCCGCCGAGGGGCCAGAGGATGGTCTTCCTCCAGCTGCGTCTGCGGAGGGGTCCCAGTCCGGGTCCCACTGCGGGGAGGACATACATTCCTCCGGCCCCCTCGTCCCTCCCAGGTCTGCTCTCACCACCAGAACATTCTTGGGGCTCCCCCCCGCCGCCTTCTCCTCTCTCTTCCTTCAACGTCCCCCACAGCCTGTGACCTCCACCCCTGCCACCAGAGCACACACCTGTCCTGGCCGCATCCCCCTGGGCGTCCCACGGCCCCTAAGCCCACGATGGCACCCCAAGACCCACCCCTCCTCGGCGGGGTTGGGGCACCACTAGCAACCAGCCTCTGCCCTGCTGCCCTCAGGGCCTGCCGGCTGCCTCTCCACCCCACCATCCCTGCAGCTCACAGGCCGTCCTGGTACCTGTGTGGGCCCAGGCTGTGCGCCCACGAGAACCATGTCTACCTACGGAGGGATTCGCACAAAGCGTCTGGGGCAGCAGGGCGAGACCCCAGCTCGGGCACCGCTCATTCCTTCAGGGGGTCACAAAGCAATAAACCCCCTGGCCCCCTGCCCACCTGGGAGCCCGGGGGGCGGGGCCGGGCCCGTCTGGGGCCACGGCAGGTCCTGACCCTGGGGTGGCTGCCCTGCTGGGCTCAGAGTGGGGACGACACAGGGGTCCCGCAGGGAACCCCGTGAGGAGCCAGCCCTGGGTGACCCACGGAAGTCGGGCCAAGGGCACGCCTGCCCCGCACGGCGGGCCTCGGGGTCTGGCCTTCCTCTTGCCGCTTCCTCTCCCCCCGTCGGCCTCCAGGCTCCTGCCTCTTTGGTGCTCCAGCCAAGACCGCCCTTCCTCTTCCGCCTCCCCACACCCCACGAGTTTCTCAAAAGTCCGGGTCAACCCCCCTCCAGGCAGCCTCTGCCACAGCACGCCACCCCATGGCCCTTGCGGGCCACGTGTCCCCGACTGTGGGACCATCTCTGGGGAGCGGCGTCCCTGGCTGGACCGAGCGTGGCGGGAGGGCTGTGGAAGCAGTCTCCCTTTTTCAGGCTCGCCTGGCAGCACCCGACACCCAGCGACGCTCAGAGGGGCTGTTGATGGGGCTGGAGTGTGGTCTCCAAGGGGCCTCATCTTGAGAACACAAAGTCTTGCTTTAGGCCTTTGCCTTGTCCTGCCCGTTTGAGTGCTGTGTGCCTCTGGGAGGTTACTTGGCCCCTCTGGGCCCCCATTTATTGCTCACAATGACGATAACAAGTACTAACGATGCCACCGCTACACAATATCCCTATAGCATCCCAGGCACGCTGCGTGGATAAGCGTTTATTAGACACACAGGTGCCTGAAGCTTGGGATCCAGACTGTGTCTACCCTGCACTCTCATGGGCTCCCTGGAGAGCCAGGGACTCGGGGTCTCCATCTGTGAAATGGGTATGGAGACACCAGCTCCTTTCTCCTGCAGTTAAGGGCTTGGCTTTGCAGTCCCGCTGCTGACTCATGACGCCACCCACTTCAGGGGACAGACACCCCATGGGAGCCGTCAGCAGCGAGGTCTGAACAAGTGGGAGCAGGGCTCCTGGCACGTCCCTGACCCGGGAGGGTTGGGACAAGGGGCAAGGGCGGCCAGGGGATGGGGGTCAGATGCAGACCCTGCCACAGCCAGGCCGGCCCCTGGAGCCCCAGCTGTGTGCCCGCAGGCCCAGTGATACCCACCTCGGAGGGGAATAAGCAACGTCCCCATGGGATGCCTGCAGCACAGAGCCCCACACGGGCCAGCGCGGCTGACCTCAGCCACAGTGACATTTTCCCCAAGTCCCTTCTCAGAGGAAGAGGAACAGCCAGGACCTGTGGCTCCCTGTTGCCCACGGCGCGGGGCGGGGCTGGGCTCCCTGGAGGCCTGCCACGGTCACTTACAGTCCCTGAGGAGCTCAGCGTCACGGCCCGCAGTCGGCGATGCCGGGGAGAGTAAATCCAGTACCTCCCATCGGTGAACTGGGCGGGCCGGGTGGGCGGGGGAGGAAGCAAACAGAGGACAGGATGAAGTGACAGGATGAGGCCACGGGGATCTGGCAGGTGGTCAGGCAGGGAGGGCACCGGGAGGGGCAGGTGAGCCGATGGCCAAGCAGGAGGTGCGGGCAGGGGTACCACTGGCTTCCTTCTCTGCTGCGCGGGGCCCAGCTGCCCACTCGGGGGTTTCGGGACCCTGACGCACACGACAGGACACGGCCCCAGGGGCCACCTCCCACACAGATCCAGAGAGCGGGAAGCAACCAGCCCCGGCGGGAGCTGACGGCAGGCGGGGGGACACACAGGGTGCACTTGGTACCCTCCAGGCCAGGCAGGGCCGTGCCCTGGCAGCACTGGCTCGGGGACCAAGAGCAGGGAGGTCGGTGTTAGTTACGAAGCAGCGATGCCAGCGGGAGGGCCAAGCTCACCCAAACAGGCCCCAAGGCCCAGCGCCGGGCAGGGGGCAGGCCCCGGCTCACTTTCCTGGGGCAGAGTCGGGGGTCAGAGGTGAGAATGAAGGTCCGGGAAGAGGACAGGCGGCTGGGCGCGTGTCTGGCCCTCTCTGTCGTAACTGGGACCATGTGATCCCTGAGCAGGGCCACCCAAAGGAGATGGCTCCAGGACCCACTGTCGGGGACTCCCTGGCCCCCGGGCACCCACTTCGCCCAGGCTCCTGGTTCAGCTCCCTGCCCGCCCAGGGGAGGTGTGTGGGGAAGGAGACCCCCAGCTCTGGAGAGAGGTCCCGGGTCCCCGGGGCAGGGCCCCTTCCTACTCTGACGGATGCCACCTCGTCCAGGAGCAGCTGTGCGTCCTCATCCTGTGAAGTCGGCAGTGTGGGGCCCACCTGCCCCTCTCGGCGGGGCCCTGGCCTCCCTGAGCACGGAGCCCACCCTCCGCACCCACCACCCAGAGAGAGAAGGTGCGCGTCATCCAGCCCACCACGGCCAGCCCGGGCTGCCCCGGGACCCAGGGCCTGGGCCTCCCCTCAGGCCAGCGGGGCCGAGTACTTGAGGACCCCAGATGTTTCCCGGGGCACCGCTGAAGACAGGGCCTTGGCTCGTGACCAGATGTGGTCATGAGGCCTGGGCCGGAGGGCCTGGGCTGGATGGTGAGGGACGGGGGTGCTCCCCAACACCTGAGTGTGAGCGTGCTGGCCAGGCACGTGGCCCTGCGTGTTGAAAGGTGAGCACACACGTGTGCCTGTGTGCCTGAGTGTGAGTGCACGTGCAGGTGTGCACAGGCGCCTTGAGTGTGCGACATGTCAGCGTGAGCCTGTGAGGGAGCAGTGTGCGCGTGTGTGAACGGGTGTGGGTGTAAGCACACGTGAGTTCGTATAGGCATGTGCATGTGTGTGCACATGTGAGCACAGGTGGTGGAGGGTCCGGCGACGGGAGGGATCCCGGGAGGACTTACAAAGTAGATGTCTGTGGCAGGCGTGTCCTCCTCCTCGTCTGAGGCCTGGCTGGCGGTTTCCACTTCGACGGCGGCAGAGGCACAGGCCGGGGATGACCCCTCCCTGGGGACACGGGGAAGACATGGGAGTCCTGGCTGGGGGTGCTCTGGACAGCCCGCGCCTTCTCTAGCCCACACCCCAGGACCCTCCCTGCTCTGCACCGTCCTTCACAGAGACCACCGACGCAGGGATGCGTCCTGTCTGACACGTTCTAGTTCCCGCACAAAACAAACAACACCCCCAAGCACTGCTGCGGCCCAGGGAACAACGTGCCCACCCCCGAGCAGGCGGGCCCTTCCCCCTCTATTTGCTCAGCCTCATGCCTGTGGGCAGATCCCCGCCTCACCACTCACTTGCTGGGCAGCCATGAGGACCACGTTCTTTCTCGGAACTTCAGTTTCCTCGCCTGTAAAGTGGGGACACATGGCACCTACCCCCAAGGGGCCAGAACCTCTTTCTCCTCTTTTCTGAGCACTTACTAGGTGCCAGGCCTGTCTGAGGGCCTTGCGTAAATGAACCCACCGAACTTCCACTCGGGAAGGGGGGATGCTGCTGCTGTCCTGTGTTACAGATGAGGAAACTGAGGCTCAGAGTGAAGGTGAGGAACATGCCCGAGGCCTCGGCTGGTGGCCATGGGACTGGTGACTAAATTTCACCTCCTGGACGAAATAACGAGTTCTGAGAAGAAAGAGCACCTGTAACCGTGCAGAACTGGTTCTCCAGTCACGTTTGAGGGCAACTTGTTTTGTGGGGCAAAGACTGAATGACATTTCCCACCGCGACACTTCAGTTAATGGCAAAAAAGCTGACACTGGCAGGAACTGGTGCGTGTGTGTGAAATAATAGCAAAGTGCACCTGGGAATGTGTGCCGGGAGTGCTAAGTCAAGTCTCTGGAAATAGAACAGAAATTCTACAAAGTATATAAAGCAACAATTATGGGAAACACAAGAAGAACTGGATAAGGCAATTACAGAATTAAACCGCCCCAACAGATCAGAGGCAAGTAAGGACATAAAGGAACTGATGACACCAATCAAGACACTGGACAGAAAAGGCTTGTAAAGAACTTTCCGTCTTTTCACAGAGAAGACACTTTTCTCCCAAGTGTCCACGTACACTTAAAAAGTGAATTTTGGGGACTTCCCTGGTGGTGCAGTGGTGAAGAATCCGCCTGCCAATGCAGGGGACACGGGTTCGAGCCCTAGTCCAGGGATATCCCACATGCCGTGGAGCAACTAAGCCCGTGCGCCGCAACTACTAAGCCTGCTCTCTACAGCCCGAGAGCCACAACCACTGAGCCCGCCTGCCACAACTACTGAAGCCTGCGTGCCTGGAGCCCTTGCTCCGCAACAAAGAGAGGCCACCGCAATGAGAAGCCCGCGCACCACAACGAAGAGTAGCCCCCGCTCACCGCAATTAGAGAAAGCCCGCGCGCAGCAACGAAGACCCAACCCAGCCAAAAAAATAAATAAATAAAATAGCGTAGATTTTTTTGGCTGCATTGAATGGCATGAGGGATCTCAGTTCCCCGACCAGGGATCGAACCCCTGCCCCCTGCAGTGGAAGCGCAGAGTCTTAACCACCGGGGAATTCCCCAAAGCGTAGACGTTTTTAGGCCATTTTCTTCAGCTCAAAACCTAATAAAGTTAGAAGTAAGTACCGAAAAGGTAAACAAAAAATCTTAAACACTTGAGAGACACCCCTAAAAAGCCTTAGTCCAGGGTCTCCCCCTCAGCACTGCTGACATCGGGCAGGTCATTCTCTGCTGGGGGCCATCCTGGGCGCTGTGGGGTGTGGAGCAGCATCCCTGGCTCCCACCATGATGCTAAGAGCACCCCCGGTCGTGACCACCAAAGATGTTCCCAGACACTGCCCACTCTCCCCTGGGGGCAAAATCACCCTCAGGTGGTTGAAAGCCACTATCTTAATTCAAAGAGGAAATAAGAAAAAAATCACTAACCATGCACATGAGTCAGTATAAAAGAACTGCTGCACGTCAAGACCCACGGAACCCGGCAAAAGCAGTACCCAGAGGAAACTACATAGCCTTAAGGGCCTCATTATTAAAGAAAAAAAAGAAATTTAAGCACTGGAAAAAAGAAACAAGTAAGAAAACAAACCCGAAGCAGCTAGAAAGAAGTCATTACTGGCCAGATACGGTGAATGAAATAAAAACAAAACACAACAGGGGAGAAGGTAACTAAGTCCCCAACTGGTTCTTTGAAAAGCTTGTAAGTTGCTGTCTTGCAAGCCCCAGCAAAGCTAAGAGGGCGAAGAGAGGAAGGGTGGGAGGGAAAGTGACCTCAGATGACAGGGCGGCTCTGAGCCCTGGAGGAGGCGACCCTTCCCTGAGTGCAAGACCCCCGCTGCTCCCGGCATCACACGCCCCCTTCCCCTCCACGCCCCACGCCCCGGAAGCCCCATTCCCGCCCCCAGCTTGCGGACTACTTTTCCCAGCCTGCCCAGCGGACAGCTGGCCACGTGACCACGCTCGACCAATGGGGCCAGAGCAGAACTGGAATGCAGGAACCAGGTAACGGGACTGCAGGGACTCAGGGGCCACTCACCCCGCGTCTTCCTCTTTGGGGACCACGATTTCCACGCTGCACGCGGGCTCCACCTGCACCGTGATCTGCTGCAGGTCCTCCTCCGCATGCACCTCCTCCTGGGGCCTGGAGGCAATGGGAAGCCGCGCCTCAGTTTCCCTCCTCACCCCCGCCCCCCTGAGCACCAGCCGAGCTCCAGGCTGGTGCCAATTTCCAGTCCCGGTAACAAGCTGGTAGCCTCCACGAGGTACTGTCTCCGCGCACCATCAGACCAGGGCCCTGAGCCAGCCCAGCTCGCACCTAGTCCCTCTGGCCGTCATGCCCGCCTGGGGGCTGCAAGAGTCCACCTGGGGCTATCCTGTGACTCTGGCACCAGCAGAGGCATAATGAGTGAATGGCGGCCTGGATCCCGCCCACCCCCTAGGGGCAGCTAGGCACCTGCCTGGGGCCTGGACTAGGGGGTGAGGTAGTTCTGGGGTTCCAGGCTGAGACCCGTGGTGCAGGTGGGTCAGAACATTGCAGCATCCAGGCGTGCAGAATCTCTGCATGGCAACACCAGGGAGCAAAATGGTGGCTGACGTCAGAGCAGGTAGCTGGACAGAGGGGGACGCACTTTGCACCAAAGATGTTTTGTACCATGACTTTTATTTTTCAACTGGCAGGAATTATCCCCAAAAAACTAATTACAGAAATGCCCTCTTCACTGCAGTCCTGTTACAAGATCAGACAACTGGGCACAACCCAAGTGTCCATGGCCCATTAGAGGGACGGCAACCAGCACATGCTCCACCTGCTCAGACAGGTGACCTTCTGCTGGTAGGTGACAGAGTAAGGGGCAGTGTGCCGCCCAGAGTGCACACTGGTCAAAATGCGAGGAGAGACAGGCCCGAATGTGTGTCGGCTTGTATATTCACAAGTATCTCCGGAAAGAGACAAAAAATCCGTCCAGGGGGTTGCTCCCAGAAAGGGGAGCAGGCATGGGGCAAGGGGGAACATCTTAACTATTTTCCTTTTTGTATCTCTTAGAATAAAAATATTAATAAAAAGAGAAAGAAGAACCAAAAGGCATGTGTGGGAGCAGGGTCCTCTGGGCACCCAGGTGGGAGACAGACACAAAATGACCTGAGATATTCTACGCGGTCTAGAGGCTGACTTGAATCTGTGCCCAGAAAGGAGTGGTCAGAGACGAAGGGCTCTGGGTGGGGAAAGTGGAGGAGGGACTGGGGTGGGCGGTCGGGGGACAGGGAGAGGGCTGGGGTCTCAGCTCACCGGCCATCCTGTCCGGAGGACTGCGTGCGCCGCCTGCAGAGAGACCACAAGGAGGTGGGAGAAGTGGGGCGAGGCCCCGCCCACGCACAGCCCCCCCCCCCCCCCCGGGGGG